AACTCATTCAACACAAACATCAAAGTTCATTAGGTCAATGCAATCTAAAATTAAATCAAGCACTAGTCACATAACTCTATTTTTATAAATGTGATCTACACGTTTGTTCCATAATGCCCCTGAATTATTATTATCAAGTTTACGCTTAGTACCATGTGATTCCACATTTAAGGATTCGTCGTAGGTAGCTAATGTATCAAGCAAATATAGTTTATCATGACTCATAAGTGAACTAATTTCAACAATATTTGAATTAAAAGACAACTTAAACATATTATTCTCAGATGATCACAAACGAACATGTTTTGTCTAAATAATAAACTGAAATTAAATTCTGTCATAATGACGGTACAACAAAAGTATCTTTTAAATCCAAATAAAATCTATAACTCAATAATAATCTAAAAATCCATACAGTCTCCAACATAGATGTATCCTTCAACATCATTTGACTCCTGGTAGTTCAGGCAACCCTGCATTGAAACACTGATCTTAGTAGTTGTGCCAGAGTCTGACCACCACGTGTTTCCAGGTACTAAAGCTAAAGTAAACTGAAAAGAGACCAAACCATGACTCATGCAATTGGAGCAATCCCACTTCTCATAATTTTTCCTCTACTTATAAGTATTAGATTACAAAGGAGAATATGATTGCTCCATTTTTAATGCATGGTCAAGATCCATGCAGGCAAGAACAATTTCCACGTTCTCTTTCTAGTCCTTGAAATTTTCCCTATTAAGGACCGGAACCAAATTTAGATTAGCAAATATTGAAGCTGTGAGATATTGGATCGACCTCTAGTGTTTTCGACTGGGATAAATTTCATGATTCGACAAGAGACAAGCATGAAGTCGAAGATTGTTCAAATGCTGATGTCGAGGTGTTTACATACTGTAGTCGAAGTTAGGTCTAGTATGTAGTGTCGAATTGGACGTTGTGTTAAGGATCTGATTGTTTAAGTTAACTTGTTATTTAAGTTACCTTGTAGTCTATTAATAGGCTAGATCACTCAGGTTGTTGAATGAGGTCAATTGTATTATTCACTTGTAATCATTTGTAACATTGAGTAAGTGAATAGAAAACAGTTTTCCAAAATCCTTCTTCCATCTTTCTTCTTTATCTTTTCTTCTTTCTCTCTTTAGAAACCGTCTCATTGTTCATCAAGAAACTTCATTTATCATTCAAGAAAGTGTTGAAAGGTATCATTTGTGATCACAATAAATTGGTACGGTGAGCATGGAGAAGGTGCAGTCAACAAAGTTTGAAATTGAGAAGTTCACCAGAGTTAATGATTTCGATTTATGGATCTTGAAGATGCAAGCCCTTCTTGTTCAACATGGTTTGCTAGAAGCGTTAAAGGGAGGAGATGTCATGGATGTTGCATTGAAGGAGAAGGATAAGACAATAATGATCGAGAAAGCCTACAGTGCAATTGTTTTGAGTCTTGGTGATAAGGTTCTCAGGCAGGTTCCGAAGAAAACGACAGTAGTTGGTGTTTGGCTGAAACTCGAAGGATTGTATATGATAAAGTCCTTGGTGAACCGTTTGTACTTGAAGTAAGCTTTGTATGCATTCAAGATAAATGAAGATAAAACATTGACGGAGCAACTAATGTGTTTAGTGAGTTGATTATTGATCTTGAAAATATTGATGTTACCATCAGTGACGAAGATCAAGCATTGTTATTGTTGTGCTCTTTACCTAAGTCACATGATCACTTTAAAGAAACCCTCTTGTATGTAAGAAAGTCTCTGACCTTTGAAGAAGTTCAAGAAGCCTTGTATTAGAAGGATTTGAACGAAAGAAAGGAGCAGAAACCATCATCATCAGTTGGCGAAGAGTTGTCTGTGAACGGGGAATCCTCGAAGAAAGATGGTAGGTTTGAGAAGAAGAAAGGTAAAACTCAGCAGAACTCTTATGGTGGTGATATTTTTGGTATTAAGTGTTATCACTGTAAGAATGAGGGGAGCGCCATTCCACGCGGGGAGGAGTACAATTGCGCTTTAGGGGCTGCGACCTCTCCAACTCTGAGCAGTGGCCTAGTCGTTGTTTCAACGGGTTTTGAGACTCGTAGCATTGATGTATCCACGGGGGAGAGCGTGGATGACATTCTTTCTCCAATGCTCTGATCCTATAATTATGTAAATAGAATAACGTGTTGATCTGGTTAAGGGCCACGACCAGGGCCGCCATGGCCCGATCGATGTTGGCTGGCACTAGGATTGGTTAGAATTTCTCTAACGTCTTCTCCATAGCTTTTTAGACTTTGTGGGTCTCGATGTACTGGACGTCATTATCGGTCGCATTGTTGGATGAGAGGGAGGCGGTGTGCCCGTTTCTCCTCCTTGGAGTGTCTTCCTCTAGAATTGGAATATCATTGTTGTTGTCGGTGTCATGGATGGGAGAGAGGATGGTTCCGTGACCATTTTTGTCATGTTGATCGATCGTGATTGACTTTTGAAGTTTTCTATTTTGATCTCTTAGTTTCAAAGAAAGAAAATATGGGGAAACAAGGTTCTCATAGACGACACCACTGATCTAACTTGTCGATCAAAATAGGTAGGTGGTCAGAAGCACGTCGGTGGACTTGAATGATCAGTGAAGAAATAGGAGGGTACCTATAGACACTCTGATGCCTAAGTTAGTTCGGATGAAGATTTAATTAAGAAAGGGTAAGAATAGAATACTTGACCTTCTTGTAGACGAGGGTTTTAATGGTGAACCCCCATCGCTAGATCAATGGTCTCGTTATGGGCTGAGTGTTCAAGCCCACAACTGATGACTGTCAGGATTCCTACATGGGAGCAGGGATGAGCAACTCGTGCTCATCATCCTGGATCAAATGCTTCACACCCAGTTAGTGATTGGACTTGCCCGTTACGAAGGGCAAAATGGTTCCACGAGGTGCGTGGGTCAGTTGGTGATGTGTCCTCGAGTGAGGAGCACATGGGGAATATGCTTTCTACTGGCCCCAACAGGTTGAGCCAGCATTCTGGGCCATCCTCGATGCAGGTCTAGATTGGGTTGTGCTCGACGCTGGGTCAGCCATATGCCCAGTCCAGAACAACAACTTACCCACAGACTTGGAAAAGGGAGATGAGAGAAATTAAAGGTTTCAATGAAAAGGCATTTAAGCATATGATGAAGACACCTCCTAGGTTGTGGACATACACTAAGTGTGATAACTTGTTAAACAATATGTCAGAGACCTTTAATAGTGTTATTATGCTAGAAGGGATTATAACATACATGATGGAAAATGGGCATCAAATAGGATGAAATTTGTAAACTATGGTGATGATGCTACCTTTCATGACATTAGAAAGAGACATTGAAGTTTACTACTACTTTATTTAATATGTTTGGTAAAATATTCATTAGTTCATAATGTACTTTTTTATACTGCTTAGGATTGAGAAACTTAGTGGTTACACCAACTTGTGGATTGTAAAGTATTATAAATCTAATATACTAATATATTGTACTTTGTAAAACTGTAAAATTGTTATACTGATATATACCATAATGTACTTTGTCTAATTCACGTTGAAGGATGTATGGTGAGCATATTTTTGAGGTTAGGCACATTGAAAATTTTGGAGAAATTTTTTTTGTCAACTTGCAATAACATAACTGCTTATGCAGGAAAATGTGATCATGCAATTTCTTCCATGAAGAGCAGGAACTACAAGATATATGAGTACATTCCTGATATTACAAAAACTCCAAGTATTAGGAAGTATAAAACCATGTTTTTATCCTGTTAATGGGTCTAACCTATGGGTGAAGAGAAGCTACCCAGATGTACCACCACCAATATATACAAAAATTACAAGAAGACAAAAAAAAAGAATCTTGAGTAAGGAAAAATTGATAGATCTGATCCTAAAATAAGGAGGACATAATTAAATGTTAAGTAAAGTAGGTGCAAGAAAAGTGGCCATAACAAGTCAACTTGTAAGGTTCCACCATTAACTCATGCAAGTCAAGACCAGTCAACTTAGGCAAGTCAACCTCAGGAATGTCAATCTGAGACACCTCAGGAAAGTCAACCTTAGGCAAGTCAATTTCAAGAAACTCAAGAAAGTCAAACATAGTTAACTCAAGCTATGGAAAGTGGATCAAGACCTGCTAAAAAGAAAACTCAGACTCTAGCAAGTGGATTAAAAACTGCTATAAAAAAGTTGAGCATTAAGAGGCCATCAAAAAGTGTTGGATCATCAGGTCCTACAATAAATTTAAGTTAAGCAAAGAATTTCACATGACCTACCTGTTGCACTCCAAATTTTGACCCCTTAAATATTCATCATCATTCTAGGATCATCTTCATTTGTTTATCTAACTATAACCTATTTCAAGATTGTCTTTGTCAAGATACAGATGAATCAGGATTTCGTACAGTCAAGAATCAAGGTTTCGATGGCTTGATCAGTCAATGTCTTGGATTGATTCTCCATAAAACAAGTCTCTACATCATCAAAGATACTCCATTGGTTCAAGTATGAATCCAATTTGAAGTTGTCACTCAAAGATCAAGAGCAGTGCAGTTCAAGACCCCCGATTAGGGTTTCTGATCAGGAAAAGTCAACTGTAGTTTGACTTTTGATTTAAAAGGTGTTACAATGATGGAATCATGTTACATGAAGCTGATATGGCTTATTGAAGTTCACTCAAGAAGTTTCAAGACCTCAGAAGACCCAGAACATAACATTTGATCCGGTATTTATCGGTCGATTGGTTCGCTTGACTGAAAAGTTAACTCTTTGACCATAAGGAATTTGACCTCAAGGTTTGAAGCAAATGTGTTCCTAATAATATATTACACCTAGCTATGAAGTTTCATGACCATTGGATCAAGGATTGAGGAGTAATCGAAAAAGTCGGGAATTAGGGTTTTGAAAGGGGCAAGACCATAACTTCCTTACCACACATCCAAATAAGGTGGTTCAAAGCTTGTTGGAAAGGTATTGGCAAGCCCTACAAAAGTGTAAAGATGACATATGGGCAAAAAACCTTTGAAAGATTATGTCAGTGCTGTACAATCTATTAAGGTAGTTCTGGTTACACTTTCTTTCACTATTTCATAACAAAATTGTCTATAACCCGATTAAGACTTTTTTCATGATTTTGAAATATATTTCACATGCCTGCTCCTTCAACCCTTCCTCCAAGAATGAGCTAAAACGGATTGCTGTAACTTATTTCACATTCTGAAACAGGCAACAATAGCAGAAAGGGCCAATGCCTTCAGGAGGCAATGTGAATTGGCTGAAACAATAAAGTTGAAGGAGATTAATTTGTATGCTCCTGTTTATCACTTTTACAATTTGATTAATTTTGTTTGCATTACATGACATAATTACCCCTCTTTTTACATGATATTTTATGGTTGAATTAACATTCACGATATGTTCCTTTTGAATACAGTCCATTTCCCCCAACCAAAACTTGATTGTATAAATTATAAATGCAAATAATTCTTGTTCCTGTCTTGTATTATGGAATTTGTATAATTGTTTTTAATCATGCTGATGGACCAGAAAACTGCCTATTGTCTTATACCCTGATATATATCCCTTATTATTGTTTGGAATGCAGTGACAAACTTATGTTGATTCGCTCTGATAAAGTGGGAGAAGCTGAGCGTGAATTTCATGAGGCAAGTTTTTTTATCATTTGACGTCCGGTGATGATATAATTTTTTATATCTTGCGTGTTTGACTGGACTGACATGATTATGCCATGTAGTTGAAGGCAGAGAGTGAACAAGCAACAAAGACATTTGAGACAATTGTGAAACTAATGAATGAAGAAATAGGGCGTTTTCAGGAACAGAAAACATTAGATATGGGGATAGCTTTCCACGAATTTACCAAAGGTCAGGCACGCCTAGCAAATGGTATTGCAGATGCGTGGCGGAGTTTGCTTCCTAAACTAGAGGCATGTTCAGGTTAGGGCCATTGTTGTCAATATTTGTGCTTGAGAACTAAGTTTGTCAACTTAGTTGCTATCAGTTTTAGTTTCTCATGTTAGGAGGTTTGGTTATTGTTATGGTTTCTGTCTGAGAGTGTTTGGTTTGGAGCAAGGTTGGATAACCAAGTGAGGGCTGCCATGAGGTTTTAAGCTTGTTGTGTGCCTCAGTTCTGTTTAGGTCCTTGAGGTCAGTTTGCTTTGCTTGTTTGTTGACTGAGTTTAATATGGTTTATGTTGAGCTCATGTTAACCTTTAGGGTGTTGTTGTTATTTTAGGTAGAATTTTTTAGTTTAGTTCTGACTGCTGTTTAACCATTAGTGAATAGGTTAGTTTTTTTAGTAGACTAGTTGAGACTAAAGTGATAGGCCTCAGTAGGTTTTCCTTGTTGGTATGATGAGATGAGAAGAAGGTTTTTTTCATAAGTCTGTGTGAATTCATTGACAGAATGAAGCCCTTGCTCTGTTGAAATTAATTGCTTTGATATTTAGCTTATTGTCCAAGTTTGTGTGTGTGTGTGTGTGGGGGGGGGGGGGGGGGGGGTTGGTCAACCTAGAACTTGGTTTATTTCCATGTTTGGATGATGCATGATGTTAGGAATACAATGTTTGGGATCTATTCAGTTTTTTTTTTAATACTTTTAATTGTGAACATATTTGGTGACTGTCAACAATTTTCAAGTATACAAACGTATTATGTATGCCCTGTCATGAATGCTTCAATGTCTTGAAAATTATGTTTGAGATCTGCCATGATCTTTGCTTGTTAGCATCATAGGCCAATGATTTGATTTGCTTGTATCAGCATGTTCTTTCTAAAAGCTCAACTGCCATGATTTTTCAAACCCCTAAATCTTAAAATTTTTTGCACTAACAATTTTGTCTTGGAGGTCTTTGGATATTATTGTTTTGGAACCTATCCAACTGTGTGTGTTTGCATTAAAACAATGACTTAACAACTATGACATTGTTGGATTGCAAAGAATTTCTCAAACATAAACCCTTCATTTGCAGTTTGACAGCTATGTCATGTTTCTGGTGAAAAGTTGAGTTTTTTCTTTTGAAACTCATCTTGAATTTTACATTCAAATAACAGCATACCCCTTACTTGTATGAGTTCAGCTAGTTTGATCTTTGCTCTTCAAATTACATTTCAAAATGATACTTTGCATGTTCCATCACGTTTTTCATTATGTATGTTATTTTGAAAAATGGTGGATACCATCCTCTTCTTTGTGAAAATCCAATCATGTTAGACTTTTATTTCATTGAATTTGGTCAAGAATTGAAGGTTTGGGATCCAAATCGTTTTTGAGTTTTTACTTGAACTTGCTTTGTTTGTGGCCCAGGAAACACGTCTTTTATGGTATATGTTCAGCGAGGGCACTTTTTGCTCATTTTTTTTATGACTTTCATGGTTTTTACCTTTTCTTATTCCATTTCCATTAAAATTCACATGTATGAAGTGGTAGAGTTGGCATTATTTTGAGTCTATGACCTCAAGGTCTTGAGTTCAAGCCTTGGGTGAGACATTCCTTTAGTTTTAATAACTAGTTTATTTGTTTTTTTATTTAAAATTCAAATTAGCATAACTTCTCCAATTTTAATCATATTTAAATGATTCTTTTTGCTAAATTCTTGTATTAATGTATATTTTCATATAATGTTTAAATAATTCTAAAATTCCTATTTTAAAAACACTTTACATTGTGGAAGTTATGATTCATTTTAGGGTTTTCACCCTCCTATCTCTCATTCTTCATTCCAAAACTTTAATTCCATTTGAGTTTAATTTGAATTTGATTTGACTTTGTCTTGTTAGCTTCCTTATGTACTTGAGTTTTGAAACAAAACCTTTTGCTTGTAAGCATTTAGGTGGTTCATCTTTAAAACTTATGATTGTCCCTATGAAGTTTTGAACCTTTTATTTACATTATTGTGACATTGTTTGATTGTCCATACTTGATTGTTATCAAATGTGTGGTGCTTTGCTTATGTAGTTACATATGACATCCTTTGACCCTTAACATGCTTAACTCAAGTTATGACTTGTTTGCATTTATTCATTGGTTGTTACCCTCATCTTTGTCAAGATATGTCATTGGTTTTCACCTCTTATATTGAGTCTTGTAAGAACCTACCTTTAGATATTGAAATGTCTTGGTGTATACATTGGTGGTAACCATTTTCCTTGTTTATAATCCTTGTTTGATATTGATATGTTTGCATGATTTTTGGTTGTATTCATCATGTTTGAATGTTTATATTTTGTTAAGTTATTTTCCCTAAGTGATGGAACTCTTTAGTTCTCATTCAAGTTGCCTTATCTTTTTCCTTCCAAAGGAAAGTCTCTCTATTGACCCTTGGGTCATAGATAGCTCATAATACTCCCTTTGACTTTTCTAGGTCATCTTGAACACTTAGTTAAGTTAGAACCCTAACTAATAGACTTTTACCTTAAGTCTAAAGGACCTACCCTTTGTTAGGAGTATCCTCAACTAGAACTTTAGGAAAGAGTTTGTTAAACTCTATGTAAGAATCATAATGATGATTTCTTACCTTCCCCTCCTTGACTTTTGTTAAAGTCATTCCTTAGTCGTGTCCGAGCTATGGACCCTCTGATTTCTTATTTGTTAATAATAATACATAGGCATAAGATGCGATGTCTTGACGAGCACACCCCTTTCTTTCCGTTTGGTTAGAACCAATTGATCTTACAACGTAGAACTAGACAGAGTTTGTTAACTCTATGTAAGTATCATGGTAATTCTTACTTACTCCCCTTTCTTAAGTGTTACAACTTAGATTAGAGAGTTTTGTTAAACTCTACACAAGCATGGTTATGTTTGTTCCCCTTTGAACTTTGATCATAATCAAGTGTTCATCTATCCTCAGTAAGGGGAACTACGGTTGCTCTGATTCTATCCTAGTTAGGATACGTAGGTAGAAGATGAGATATCTTTGTGAGCAAACTTAGAAACTACCCTTAGGTCTTTACCCAAACTCATACCCTACAACCAAACCCTGTCCCATAACCATAGCAAACATTTAGCAGTATTAGCATACAAACATACAAATGGTTCTTGTAGAGTACTACAGATGTTTAGGATGTGAAATACCTACCCTAGGCATAACCAACCCCCGATCCTCGATCTCTTAGCGTTGTTGTTACATCGCGCAAAAGGTCTTTCTTTAATCTTTCCTTTGGATAAATCAAATTCGGTTGTGAATTTAATGAATTAAGATTTAAGTTAATCAATAGCTTGACATCACAATTCTCACCGCAACACTACCACTAGGCTTGGTTTATCTCAAACAAGTAAGAAGACAAATTAGATTTCTATTAGTTTAGAACAAGTGTAATGTAAGCCCGAGTATACCATGTCAAACTGAGTATACTAAAATGAAAAACAATATACTAGAAATGATGCATCCAATTCAACTAAAAAAAACTAGAGATTATATATTGTGCATCCAAGTCAAACTCAGTATATCAGAATGCAAAATTGAGTATATTAAATCAAAAGTATACCAGAAAGATAAATCAACAAGGAGTGAAATTTCATTAATTCTATTTCATTCAATTCCAAACATTACAATATAAACGCGAACAATTTATTATACCAAAAAAATAAATTAAGAGGGATAAAAATATCATTAATTCCATTTCATTCAATTGGAAACATTACAATATCAACTCAAAACATAAACAAATATTCTTCCAGAATTACACACTAATATTACTAAATCAAATTGTACGTTAAAACAATTATAACTACTAAACATAAATTCTTCCAAAATTATTCCACTTCATTGTGTTCTTAAGAGTCACCTCAAGTTTTTCTAACTCTTCCTTTTTGTATCAGTTGTATCTGTGTTTTTCAATTCTTCCTTCTTATTGAACCAATTTATGATGTTAATTTTCATTTTCTTTTTCTAAAATTTCCAATCTCTTTTTTATCTTCTTCAGGATAAATATGTCTTTATCATCTTTCACTTCATCATAATACCAATTAAAATAGTCGCATTCAGTTTTAGTAGTCCCCTATGTAAATTCAGGAAAACATAACTCACTATGCCAAAATGAAATTGGAAAATAAGTATAGATATCTTACCCTATAGTGTGAACATTCCCATAATTGCTTGCTAAAATTATTAATTGTTGTAGTCCTTATAAACACAACGAAGTTACAACATAAAACATTAGGTCTTCATTACTTCATCGAAGAAGAAGAATAAACCATTAATTTGGAATTGTTACTGTTGTCTCTCCCATCATCGGACACTTTTTTAGAGGGAGACAAATTTGTAGAACACATTATTCTTCTTTGTTTTTGATATTGACGGCCGATCAGAACCTGCAGTGGGCCAGAGACAAACGCCTGTGGTGTTAGATGTGAGAGAGGAGGAGGGGGTGTACCTGGAAGGCACTCTGATGCTAAAGTAATAATTGGGAAGAGAGAGAGAGAGAGAGAGAGAGAGAGAGAGAGAGAGAGAGAGAGAGAGAGAGAGAAAGTACAAAATATGATTATATCAGGGTGAATATTGGATACCTTATCCTATAAAGTGAGAGGGTTTTTATAGTGCCCTCAGCGCTTGACCATTGGTCCTTATTTTCGGGGCGAGATAACTGTTTCCCGAAGAATAGGTAACTGTTAGAACTAGCCGTTGGAATGGGAAGAGGTGCCCATAACTAGCCGTTGCTACGGGCAGGGGCGTAGTTACGGGCACAAGCGTCCTGGTTGTTTCTGGATGGTGGAACTGTGCGTGACGAGTAAGGACTTCCGAGGAGAAGCGCTGTGACCAAGGGTAAATTGGTCAGCCTCCCTTGTTGGAGGGGCAAAAGTGGATTGGGTCATGCCTAGCCATCAGGCCAGTCTGAAATAGTAGCCCCCCAAGTCGTTGCTCCCGAGCATGAGAGTGATGACTTAAGGGTAGTTCGGTTTTCGGGCAAGGTCGTCGCTAGCCGCAGAGATGGGGTTGTCA